ATATTAAATTTATGTTTAATAATTAATTAATTATTATTATTTACTAATTCATATTAAATTATTAATTAGTTAATTATTGAATTATTTTAAATATTTTATTAATTATTAATATATTATCTTATTATTGAAAAATCTTAAATTATTAAAATCTTTTATTAATTATTAAATTATTTATTATTAAAAATTATTTATTAATTCGTATTAAATAAATCATTTTTCTTCTCCACAATAATTAGTAAAATCTAACTATTTTTAAACTTGATGATAAATTAGCCCTTTTTTCTTCAAAAGTATTTTTACTTATTGTTAGTTAATTTTTTTTAATCAAAAATCGGAATTTTTTTATATATATTAACGAAAGCAATTTAGTTTTAGTTCTCAAAATATTAGATAGTATCATTTTCAGATTTCCTAGTTGTAAAACTTTTAGAGCTACTTAACTTCGAGTTTTTTTGCATTTTTTTAAATTTATTTTCTTTTATTATTTTTTATCAGATACTTGAACTGACTGATAAAAACTGCAGATTAAAAAAAAAACAGTAACAAGTACAATTCTAATTCTGAATTTTATCAAATTCGTTTCTTCTATCATAAAACAAACCCGAAAATGTCATTTTGTTTCCTTTCTACTTAAGATTTATTTGGTTTTCTACGATAATAAAATATGACATGATGATATACAGCTGACGTTTACTATAAATTATCCAGCCTTATTTTTTCTTTGCAAATTTTATATTTTTAAAATGAACTTCATAAAAATATATAATTTCAAAGCCTGCACAGTACACATTTGACCAAAACAAACTTTTTTCTTATTTTTTATAAGCCTGTTTTTGTATGTAACTCTTGCAACATGGTGATATTCCGTTAAAATTAAATCGTTTAAATATATATATATATATATAGCTAGAAAAATACTTTTTATAAAAAAAAAAAATATTGGATATACTCAAAATGCATGTTTAAGGANAGTCACCTTTTAACTAAAAAGTATATATGTATATATATATATATAAATTTTAATTTATTTATTTAATTTTTTTACGAACAAAATTCATGTTTTTTCATCTTATGTTGGACTTTATTTAACTGAGCATAGCTTGAATTAACTTTTCAAATATTCATTGTAAATCTCGTTATTCATACTTTGTCATCATCACCATATTGTTGATTAACCGTTAAACAATGTTAACAAACCGATAATTAATGTAACCAATATTAGTAACTCTTTCAACCTGACGAGATTCCGTTAAAATTAAATCAACACCCTTTTTTTTTAAATAAAAAAAAATAATTTTTATTCATTTATTATCAGTTTCCTTCATCTAAATTGGATTTAATTAAACTGAACATCGTTTCTGATATTTATCTGAATTTCTTGAATTAACTTTTCAAGTATCCATTGTAAATCTCGTTGTGTTCACATTTTGTCAGCATTACTATATTGTTGATTAACCGTTTGATTATTGTTATTGTTAATTATTATTAATTATTGTTGATTATTGTTAATTAAATCACGCCGGATCGAAAAATATTTTAAATTAGCATAAAGTTCTTTGCGATAAAAATTATTTAAAAGCATCTGCTTAATAATTCGGTTCTTTTTGAAAACTTCAAAAGCAATAACTTAAATTCTAAGATTTAAGAATGAGTACTGTCTTTACTGTAACAAATCTGAAAATAAACTAAATTGATTTGAAAGCAAATATTTTTATATATTTAATGTAACACTAATGAAAAAAATTATTGAAGGAGTTATTTCTCTCTATTCAACTAAACCAGCCAACCTTTAAGATAAAGAGAAATAATGTACTTCTGCTTTTATGCCCCAGAAATGTGCTATAACACCAAAAATACGTGAGATTTCAATTTTTCTTCCCTAAATAAAGGCATAACATTTTTATTGATGTTTTTATGCTACAGCCTGGATCTGCATTTCTTATTTTCAAGCTCATCAACCGCTTTTCTTGTTCTATATTTTCTAATAAAAAAGAAATATGTTTCATCTAATTATATATTATTCTGAATAGTTATACGCTATATACGTGTTACTTAAATGTCTAAAAATTAAATTTAGTAAACTTAATTTTTTGTTCTTCTAACGTAAATTCGAGTTATTAAAGAAAATAGATTGATAGCAATAGCTGTTTAGACTTATATCATGTTGAAAGCGAACATTTAAACATATTACAAAGTGTTTTCATTAAGACTTCTTAACTTTTACTTTTATCGTTATTTTGAATGAGTACTGAGTTCCAATGAAGATTCATTTCTGATATTTAACTTAAGTGTTTGAATTAACCTTTAAAAAAATTATTAGAATTCTCGATGTTTATATTCAATCATCGTCGCCATATTATTCATTAACTGCTAAGTAATGTTAAAAAATTTTTGGCAACGTTATTAACGATTATACAACTGCAATCGTAGGTTTTTAACTTTTAAGAAGCAAAAACCGGTACTAAATTTGCCAGAAAACAGTTTTTAAGGATATAACACATTTACCAAAATAAGTTCCATCGTTTATCTGACAAGGTATATTCTGTAAGGAAATTAATATATTTTCAGTCATTAAAATAAAAATTAAATAATGAAAGTTGGAATCAAATGTCTTGTCTTAAAAATGTCTATTTGAATTTTTATCTTTTTTCCGCTTTAAATAAAAAAATTTAAGAACGTTTTTTTTTTTTTTTTTAAATTTAAAATCAGTGAAATATAATAAAAATTATTTATATGGTTTAGTTAAAATTTATTTAGAAAATTTTAATTAAAAATTAATCTAAAAATATAATTTGTATTTCAATTCAAATCATATATTATTCATAAAATGTGATAATTAGTAATGTTATTTAATATTGTTTTATTTTGAAAATTTGTTACAAATGAAAAAAAGGACTAAGTAAGTTAACTTAAATGCATGTATAAATTATAAACATTTTTGTCCCTAACATTATTCATACATCACTGATATGTTAGTATGACTAAATGACGTCTAATTCATGACTTTTTTAATTATTAAGCATAAATAAAAACATAAAAGAACAGCTATGTCTAAGCTGACGCCACTTCACTTTCAAGCCCACTGGCAATCCATCAAATATCAATCAATGCTAGAGAGCAACTAATAGGAATGCGTTTTTTTTGGGGGGGAGGAGAATACGAACTCGTGCAATCTGATCAATTTAAATCAAAATTTTGATAAAATACATACTCGTCAGAATTAAAATCTTTTTGGTTTTTCTTTAATTGTTTTACACTTTAATCGTAAGTTCTGGATCGATGATTGAACTATATTAATAATGATTTTTAAGATTGATTAATTATTTGTTCATTTATTTGATTTTATTCGAAATAATAATACCGATCAAGTTTACAATGCATTTTATTATAATAGTTGAAATCTCATCATAATCCTCTAGAAGTTTTCATTAGTAATCATTTTCACTGTATGCGCTTGCCTTATCTCTATCTGATCACCGTCAAAAGAAAAAGGGAAGCTGATTGGTGAGTTTTTCGCTGGAAAATACAAATGACATAAGTGAATTTATTTAAAACTATTTAAAACTGCATCAAACATAGTTCTAAAAGAAAGCGTCGACGAAATTGTAAAAAATATTTTTAACATTTAATTACGAAAAATATTGAGAAAAGGGCAAATATCGTAATAAAATCTGAAAGAGAAGGATTGGGAGGGGGGAAGAGTCAAGACATGGAACCAATCTTCTCCCCATATGGCGTATTCGAGCGTAGCAATAGCGAAATCTATTTGTTTTGAGTTCGATTGTTTCATTGAATTGAAATTTAATTTTTACGGCTACTCCGCACGTGAAACAGCTCTTATGACGGGCAGAAACAGAAAGTATAAACCCTTTCATTCCCCTAATTTTATTTTCGCGCTTCTCAATTTAAAACAGTAAATATTTCAATGAGAGAAATGGTAACTTATTCAATTACTATTCTTGATTTTAATAAAAATGAATCTTTAAAATCATCAAATCTAAGTTTTTGATAATTTTCGCTTTATGGAACTTTATATCAATCTGAATTTAATATCAAATGATGCATGTGTGTTTTGTGATTTTATGTTTATTTCCTGTATAATTGTATCTTGATTATAAATCACTTCTTTTAACATATTAAGATGCGAATTTTTTATTAATATTTATTTCAAATTTTGTTAAAACTGTTGAATCTGTTTTGAGATTTCAGATTTAATTTTTAATGGTGAGATAAAATAACCAGTTTTGATTTTCACTTTTGTTATTTTTCTCACCATGTATTTATCATATAATATTTATCTCGAGTCCAAATGAGTTTAAAAGAAGTAAAAAGTGGTCTTGATTGTTGTGGGTCTAGCAAGAAGGGATACTGAAATATCCCATAATTTGTTAATTTTCCTTATTGATCCTAATGCATTCTAGAAACTGTCGTTCTTTCAACAAAAAGCTCTACCTTTCTTTCTCATATTATTTATTAATTTATTTTATGAAATGCTATCTGTATTAAGAAATAAATAACTTCTTGACAGTATAAGAAAAAGAAATTTGAGTATATTTTGTAAAAGCTTGTTGATCATTTATATGTGATTATCATAAAAAGTAGTCCATAATGATATAAAAAATTCTTCACATTCATCAAAAAAGTGATATCTGTATTACCTCAGCAATACTTTAATGTTAAGTTTATTTATAAGATTAGTGACTAAAAGGTATATTTTTAATTTTAATGATTATAGTATTATGAGGAAGTTTAAGTAAAAACATATTTTGGGATTTGAAATAAATTAGTATTATAAATATATAAGAAATTATTTAATTTATTTTCAATACTTTTTTTACTTCTAATAATTTGATCTATTTTAATCCATTCTAAAATTTAGTTTTAACTGAACTATTGTAAACTTATCTACTTTAACTTAATCAAATGCAGTTTAAAAGTATTTATATATTAACAAAATTAAGTTTCTTCTTTGAAAAATTCATATGTTTGTTTCATTTCAGAGTTCATCATCAAGGATGCTTATCAAAAATGGAAAAGTAGTGAATGATGATTTATTTTTTGATGCAGATGTTTATATTGAAGATGGAATTATCAAGTAATATTCTTTCATAAATATAAAAAAAAGAAAAAACAGTTTCATTTTTACTTACTTTTCTGGATTAAATTTTAAAGAACTATTTGTTATTCATGAACCCCGTAGCAGCATCATGGCAGCATTGTCACAGAATGTTACATAGTTTTTAGTAGAAAGAATTTTCCTTTAGGAAGTATAAAATTTTGGTTTCCTTTTCTGCAAATATGTTAGAATTTTTTTCTCAAAAATTACATTTAAAAGAAGCCTTTTTCGCACATCAGAAGGAAAAGAAATATTCATGATTTTTCTATTCTTATTTGGAAACAATAAAGAATAATAAAGTCAAGAAATTTTAGTTTCCTTTTCTACTGAGATTGCCAAAAGATTTTTTTTCTCTGGAATTATTATATAACAATATATATTGTATAACAAACTTTTATTTCATTTTTCTAAAGATTCCTTTCATGTGCATCGGAAGAAAAAGATATGCTTGTGATTTTTCGATTCTTATTTAAGATTTAAAAAAATTGATAATGCATGGATTTAGCTAAAATTTCAATTAGAAAAATGAGATCTCAAAAGATGAAAAGATCATTCTGTTCTAGAAATTGTGTTCTTTCATTCATATTCACCTTATTTCACATTTTAATGAAATTTGACTGTAAGTGAGGATTTTGTGACTTATTCAGATTTGTAACAAAATAATTTCCTACTTTTTTTAAAAAATTTGGTTAAAATAAAGTCAATTCACTATTATTTTTTAAAAAAATTATGCACCTAAGAATTTTAAATAATGCATTTTAGTTTTCACTCACAACTTGCGCCAATTCCGTTGTAATGCAGTGTTTTAATTATTTTTTTTTTTTGAAATCCCGATGTCTTTCATTGTTTCTTCTCAGTTATTATTTACATTCTTGTGAATTTTGGAAAATGACTGATACTATTACGACACGCAAAATTCGAATCGCGAATTCAAGAAAGCATTCTTTGGCACGCTCGTTTTGTGCCGATATTCTCATTAATCCATGTGGTATTTTAATCGTTCCTTCAACAGTTATTGCTATGAATTTTCACATTTAAAAAAAAAACATCTAGATGTTTTTTATGCAATTTAATTATACGAGAGACTCAAATAAATTATTTAATTTTAATACCAGGATTTTATCGTTTTTTTTCTTCAACTTTTTATTGCTAGTGTTACTGAATTCCAGAGAGTTTTTAATTGGTTAACAGTTAAAACTCTTTTGAAAGAAATTAAATGTCCATAAACAGTTTAATATTTTTCAAGAAATTCTGGAAAACTTCCTCTTTTAATTTGAGTTATTTACGTAATTTCATTATTTTTTATAGGCTTAACAATATATTAATCATTCAGTAAAAGTTTTCTCATCAGACCCATGATCTTATTAAATCAGCACTCATGTTTAACAAGTTTGACTGCAGTTCTATTTGTACTTTTCATGCAATATTCTTATTCTATGCTATTTCTTACTAGATAAATAACAATTGTGAGTTTTATTAGAAGCAATAGGTTTTTTTTTAAAAAATAAACATTTTGTACCCTAAAACAGTACTAAAACTTATATTTAAATACTTGTGGGCTGCGCCCCCTGCTCGCTAACACTCGCCAGCCCCCAAAAATTGCTACGCAATATTATATGGTTTGCTTCGCAAACCAAGCTCGCTTCGCTCGCTACTAACTTTGGTACATTGCAAATGAATAAAATTCTACGAATTCTAAACAATCATTCAAATCCATATAACAACTTTTTTTTAAAAACAAAATTACATCTTTTTTGTAAATACTAAGTCATTTAAATAAATTTCAATTCAAATAAATGACATGTAATTCGTTAAACCTATTAGAAATGTGCTATAGTATAAAATCTTAAGATAAAATTTCCAAAACTGATATCTCTTTAAAAAGGTTAAAATTCTGGCTATAATTAAGTCTATAAAAAATTGTAATATATAAATTCGTGAAGGAAAAAAAAACGCTTTCGACAAAATACTAAAATAGAGATCTATCGACAAAAACTACTCACTTCTGCCTTGCTTAATAGTATGAGATTGCCGCAGCTGAATTGAACAACCTGATAGGGTGAATTTTGGAAGAGATCACATTTGGTGAGAATGCTCTCTCTGATTATTTCAGTTTTTAAAAGCGCTGTATGTTGAGCCACCTCAGCTAGATTTGGCATATGACATTTTTAGCGGCAATCATTGGTCGATTTTCTAACGTTGCCATTCGGGGAGTTGTAATGAGGCTTTTTTTTGTCGCCATGTAAGAGAAATATATATATAGATAGATTATTTGAATTAACAGAGAAAATTTTCAAAAACCTAAATAAAATGAGAATTGCATTTGTAGGTTGTGGATATTGTTCTGAAGGTGTTATTAAGTTTCAATAAATAATAAATGGTGTCAAAATGTATGACATATGTCAAAACATTTAATATTTAGTGCATCAAAATATTTAATATTTAACTAACTGAATAAACTCAGACAATGACATCTTTAATGATGCGATTTAGTTTGTTATAAAGGCTATACTTAATCAACTTTTATTTATGGGAAATTTTAAAATATTTATTTTGTTATACACTTATGTATAATATTTGTTTTGTTATTTTGTTACACTGAATTTTGTTAAAAGAGATAAATAATTTTAGGCAAGTAGGAAAAGATCTTGTCATTCCTGGTGGCACTAAAGTCATTGAAGCAAAAGGGAAAATGGTTATTCCAGGTAATTATAATTAAACTTCTTATTTTTTTATAATATCATAGAAGATTTTTAACTATTTCATTTTTAACTGATTTAACCTTGTTAAGGGTGTTGAAACTCTTTCTCCGAGGATAATGAAAAGGTCCCATTTCTGCCTTTTCTGCACTAAAACTCAAAAAACTTCTGCAGTTTTAAAATGTTTAAAAATTTTGTACCTTCTTAAAATTATATATCTATACACATAATTGTGTGAGGATACACTCACCTTCTTTGCTCAAACAATGACATCTTGAATTTACCGCACTCGACCTAATTGATGTTGTGTGTCATTAATTAATGCAAAATATAACATATTAAGCATCTGACAGTACAGAAAAGGCGATTATGTTTTTCTACTGTTTCAGATTTATTTAACTGTACTGTATTTCACTTGGGAACACTGTATTCTGATAACTACTGTTCTGTTGATTCTGTGAGTAAGGAATAAAATTAAAAATGCATTTTAAGAAATTCTGCATTCTAAAAAGTTACAGTTGACTTGGATGAACTTAATATTATTATATCTATGGTAATAACTCTCAAAAGCCAACACGTTTCAAAATCTTGCCAACCAAATTTGAAATTAGTTTTATTTCCATGTGTCTTTTTGGGGTTTTTCTGCTATATGTATGTAGCATGTTTAATTATAATAAGAATATTCTTTGCAACCTGTTTTAAAACACTATTTTTATTTATGCTTTATCATTTTGTATAATTCCATAATTTTTTTTTTCTTTTTTTATCAAGGTGGCATTGATACTCACACACATTTCCAGTTTCCTTTTATGGGTACAGTATCAGTAGATGACTTTTACGTAGGAACAAAGGCTGCTTTAGCTGGCGGAACAACTATGATAAGTAATAATCAGCTATCTTCATTTCTCCGGAAGTTTAGTTTTTTAATTGATGATTATACTTTTGATGTTATGAATTGATTGTTTAATTAATTTTTCTTTATTAATTTTATTACATTTTGAATGTAAATTATCTGGATTCTGATCTACAAGCATTTTAGTTTCTTAATTTTTCCTAGTTTCAATTCCATTAGTATATTTATAATCTAATTACATTAATTGAATCAATAAATTCAAATAAAAATAATTTCCTTTGTAAATCCTCTAGAGATGAAATCCACTCATTTATTCAATTTATTTTAATGCATCTCTACTGATTCTTACTACATTTTATTTTACTTTATCTAAGGCAGAGGTCGCCAAAGTGGTCTATATAGACCCCCAAGGGTCTATTTAACAAAAGCAGGGGTCGATCTGAGACAGGGGGGCGAATGGGGGTCGATCCAAATCGGAAGGGTCAATTGTGGGTCGAAAAAAGAAACAGCTCTCAATACGCAAATCACACATACCTAATTAAGTATGTAAAATTTGTGAATTTTTTTTATAATTGACTCAATATCAGTTTCTTTATAAAACATAAATTAATAAACGTATATTTATTGGGGTGAAACAAGTATGTACGTACCACCGCGCAGTGGCACGAACTCAGCGCAGTTTATAAGTCATATGCATATGTGCGCTTGTCCAAATGTCACGTGTGACGAGCATTGACGTTACAAATGCAAATATCATACGCAGTTTCAGCTATCTTTGCAAACTGTGTTGAATATTTGCAGTGTCATTATTAAAACTTTTATAGTTTTGGATAATTAGTTATTGTTTCGATAAAACCATTCGTTTGGTTTAGATATCAATTTTAATTATCAATGCACAAAAAAGAAGGTAAGCATTAATAATATGGATTAGTACAGCCCGCGACAAAACTATAGCACACTTTGTATTTTTTTACGAAAATTACAAAATTGACCAATTTTGACGAAAATTAAAATTGACCAATTTTGAACCCAATATAGCGAACCTTGCAAAAAAACACCAGGCACACCCATCTCATTGATCAAGAAGCAGTAAATCTTTAGTTACTTTACTTATTATATCTACTTATGCATAATTACTTATTATTTAATAATAAGGTATTTAAATTTCAATATTAATATATTTTTCATAAAACTATTGTTACACAATGTACTATTACTTTAATAAATGTTTAAAATCATAAAATAAATGTACAAACACAGTATCTAATAGAGTTTTATTTTAATTAACAGAAAATTACTTTTGCGGGGGTCGATGGAGATTTCGAAAAATTATATAGGGGTCGATAATCAAAAAAGTTTGGCGACCCCTGATCTAAGGGTTTAAATAACCACTACTAATTTATTAGATTCTGCAATTTATCATCAAAATTCAAACATTATAAATGTTATTGGTGGTGCTTTTGTTTAATTTAAAATAGAAGATAAATGAGTTTATTAACTTCAACATTCTGTTATTTAGTATAATAATATGTTAAGTTTTATCTTTAGGAAGGATTTTTCTCAGTTATCTTTGATAAAAAAGCTTCTATAATTTGTTTGTGTTTTAAAGTAATATATAATACAAGTGTATTTTAAAACTTCTGTTTCTTCACATTTAATGACTTATTCTCTATGAATATTTGTTTTTTACAAATTGTTAACCTGATGTCTCTTACCTGATATGTCCCGCTGTGTACTGTTCGAAGTCAAGTGTCACTGACTGCTATCAATAAGCGGGTGGGTGATCACTTTTATCAGCCTGTATATGGACCGAGAGTGCACGCTATCGGTCCTCGTTAAACTGTTCTACTGTAAAGTGCTTGACTTTGCACACTGGTCGACGGGCTACCAAAGCAGGGGAGTCAACCCCTCTGCAGAAGTTCAAAATTGCGATGGCTTGTCTTCGGATCATCCTCAGGAACGTTTTCCTGACCCTTGCCAATAACCCATTCTACAGCTCTAATGTGATGTAAATAAAGTACCTACCTTTTTTTTTTTATCAGTTATTAAAAATTCTGAGGTCTTTAAACAAAGTATTTATTTTTATGTAATTATTTTATGTGTTGCTATGAATAATTTCTGTTTATTTTTTGGAAAGTGAACAATTAAACTTAAAACATGTTTTTTTTTTTTTTTTTTTAATATTTTGAGAAATGAACAATTAATTTTTATTTTTTTATTAAGAATTGTAAATGTTCATTTTTGTAAGACATTTTATAAAATAATGACTTTATACAAATACAAAAGAGTTTTAAGCGCCATAAAGATTTTTTTTATAAATTCGCAAATAGTGAAATTGAACATAAAATATTATGGCAAAGTTTTATACAGTTAACTTGTGCTTTGACATAATGTGTTCTATTTTTTTTAATCCTGTGCAATTTTATTAAACTTATCAATACCCTGCCCTTTAAGCTTTAATACATTAAAATATAATGAGTTTATCTTCCTGCTAAAATTTTAAAAAAATCTGTAGTAAGAGTTACCCAAGTTGAGAGTCACTTTTAACATAGTGAGTTTTAATAGAATTAAGATCGAAAAAGCATCTGCTGAAAAGGAAGAAAGACATTACATTTTAGAAAATGTTTTTGTTTAAACATTCAAATTTAATTTATTTTTTATTCATATATTCTAATCTTTCTCAGTGGACTTCGTTTCAAGTAAGGGGTCTTCCCTCCTAGAAGCTTATGATAAATACCGAAGTTGGGCAGATGAAAAAGTTTGCTGTGATTATAGTCTCCATATGATAGTTTCAGACTGGAATGATAAAACTGAAGAGGAGATGGAAATTTTAACCAAAGAAAAGGGTAACTATATTTTAAAGGCTCTGTATTTAACCATCTTAAACTTTTTTTTTTAAAGTTATGTCTTATGTTTCTTAATTGTTTTACAATTTTTAAAATAACTTTTCTTTAAAAAACAATTTCTAGGTATAAACTCATTCAAGATGTTTATGGCATATGAAGGTTTGCAAATGTCTGATAAAGAACTTTTAAAAATATTTGAAGTCTGTGCTAAAAATGGAGCATTAGCCCAAGTGCATGCTGAAAATGGTGATGTCATTAATACAGTAAGTATAATTGTTTGAGAAGCAGCTACACAAATTATCGATCATTTTGGTATTTCAAAGGCTCAATGACTAAAGCAGAACAATTGTTATTAATTTGTCCTTGATGTGTTAGTGGTTAATTTGCAAAATTTTAATTTGTGACAAATCAAGTGTTAATCTGAAATTAAATAATTGGTCTGACACTGTTAATCTTCTTTTCCGACCTAAAATGCAACTTAACTAAATTTTTAGTTAATTAAAAAGCTTTTTGTCACATTGTTTCTTAGAATTTAATTTCACCTGTACAAAAGATCCTGTACAAAAATGAAATAAAAATCATAAAAGCTTAGAAAATTTTATAGTGCATGTAAATGCTTTGATTTAATAGTCACATCCTTTATTAGAAAATAAATTTCATCCATGTGATCTACATTAAATAAAACAATATAAATTAAAGTGTTTGTTGTTCCTACAATACTAAAATGAAATCCTATCAACTGTTAAAAAAAGGGAAGTAGGCAAGTACTATCTTATTTATTACTTAACTAAAGTATAAGTTACAATATTTGTTATAACTGTATATTCAGCTTCCTTCATCAAAAATTAGAACAGCCCATAGCTTTTTTCAGGGCTGCAAATATAAAATGCTGGTATCACCAAGCTATAGGAATAAAAAAATTATTAAGTAGTGTAAAATTAAAATATGTGTTTCAAGTTAATTTTATTCCAAATAATAAATTTTTTTTGCAAATATATGAATTTAATATCTTTTTTTACATTTTACCTCTTTATAATTAGACTGTTCTACCTGCTAAGATTAAATGATATTATTTTAATTGAATTTCTTCCTTTAATAAGTTTGATTTCTGACACTGCAAAGACACATTTTTTATTCCATTTCCATGCACAAGTTTTATGTCTTCTTTTTTTATGTTCATAGAATACAGAAAGATTACTGAAGTTGGGTATCACTGGACCTGAAGGTCATTTGTACAGTAGACCTGAAGAGGTAAAATATTAATTTTTTTATTTATTCGATGTAAGAATAGTTTAAATTTATTACTATATTTTGTTGGATAACTAACCCAATTCTGTTTTAATGTGAATATATCTTGGCATTTACTTAGTATAAAATTCTACATCATTTTGTAATTATCATATTAAAATAAGTTAACAAGCAAAGTTTTTAAATTATACAAAATATTAAATTGATTCCACAAACCCCTCAATATGCTTTCAAATGTGTTGTGAAAAATGATGTTATTATAAATTTTCATTATTTATCTAATTGTGTTTAAAAATATTTTAAAAGTAGGAACAAGGTATTAAAACGCTGAAGAATAGATTTGAAACTATAGTTTTTTTTTTAATTTTATTAATTTGACTTTTAAATTTGTACTATAATTTTGATATAAATTTGACTTATTACTTTTAATTTTCATTAATCTCCAAATTTCATTTATTACTTTTACAGGGATGCGATTCTTCAGCAGATTCGTGGATTTCCGCCTTTTTTCAGATTTTTCCCGCTAATTTCAGCAGTTTTTTTTTTTGCATAAGTTAAAATATTTTGTGAGGAATTTAATTTTCCGCGGAGCGAAATTATTGAAGTCCTCATTCCTCCCTCTGAAGTTTCTCTAAAAATCGTTTCCTTGGGATAAAACTGGTTGGCCTTTATACAGGGATGAGATTTTTTCGCTTTTACCTCTCGAATTTCAGCCTTTTTTTCAAAACCTCCAATTTTCTAAAAGTTGAGTTTTTTTATTTTTATAAATATCCCGCTTTTTTTTTTCTTTGGAAAATTCAGTCATTGAAATTAAATAATTATATTTATTTACGATTTTCAAAGATAAACAGAAAATTCAAACTACGTCCCAGCTGCTAACCCTTCCGCATTATTACTTATATTAGCTATTTTCTCCGATTTCACACACAGAAAATAAGATTTTCCGTATTTTTTATCCGTCCGCCGTTTTCGTAATTCAGACGTCGCTGCTAGCAAACGAAAAAAAAATAGAGATGGATTTGCTGTGAAAATATTTAATTGCTCATTCAATTAATCTTGTAAATTTTTATTTATTATGTCTAAACAAAAACAATACAAACAAGCCTTTTAGAAATCCAAAGTCCAGACTCTGCAAATATCTTGATTCTTATTCACGCAATTTTAATATGAATAATCGATTTTTGTATTTACCTGATTTAAAAGTTGCACATTGTGATTCTTATTTACATTATTTAAATATCGTACATTATGAGTCGTATTTACGAGATATAAAACTCCAATATCGTGTTTGTATGCATCTTTAAAATCGCAATTTTATTATCAAGCATCAATCTTCGTACTTACCTGATTTAAGAGTTGAACGTTGCGATTCTTATTCATGCGATTTAAATATCGTACATTGAGATTCTTATTTACGAGATTTAAAAATCCAATATCGCGATTTGTATTTACGCGCTTTTAAAACCCTATGTAGCCAAGTAATCCAATGTCGTGATTCGTTTTTGCAGTTGTAATATCAGGCGATTTAAAAATTATGCAACGTAATTCGTATTTACGTGATCTAAAAATTACGCATCATGATTTTTATTTTCACGTTTTTTAAATTCGAAGTAGAGTTTCATATTCACATGATTTAAAAGTCTCATATCGGGCTTTATAATCATATGGTTTACAAGTTTAAAAATCGCACTTTTTTTTGTCAAATTTTTGGATATATATTTCTTGGATTTCCTCTTTTTTACTTTCTGACTACTCTCATCCCTACTTTTAAGATTTAAGAATCTCTGAGTCTATCTTACAGTTTTCAGTATATGAGTTACAGCAATCCTAAACTGAAAACTATTTTTCATAAATTCTAAACCCCCTTAATTTTTTATACTATTTTTTTTATACATGTGTCAAGTTTTGTGCAATAATGAAAATGTTTCTCCCCCTGTTTTTAATTTGCAGAATTTTTTTTTTTTTTTACATATTCTAATATATCTAATTCTTTGTTAGTCTATTATAAATGTTGCCTTTTACTTTAAATTAGAGCTTTTAACGGAATGCAACTAATTTATTTGCCAAAAGTTTTTTTTATACAATCTAAATATTTTTTTAGTGTGTTATAATATTGTTTTATACATTAAGAGAAATTTGTCACTGTAATGACAAAATATAATGTTTCTACTATAAATTTTGCTTAATTTATTACATTAATTGAAAATATATCTAATTAAAAATGATATCTTCAAAATATTAATCATATTTTGCTTGTAAAATCCAAGAATGTAGTCTAATCCCTTTTGACTTATTTCTTTGACCCTTTAATTTTCCAACCCAAACTCATGTTTGTAAAAAACCAAGATGCTTTTTTTCTTCTTCTTTTTTTTACTTATTCAAGAACACTACTAATCAGGAAAATATTTCTAGTTAAAAAATGTCCTAGGATGTTCAAAAGTTAAAAAAATTAACTTGTATAGAAATAAAATTGTATAACAATTGTGTCACATTTGCTAAATGTAGAATTTTTAAATTATGAATTATTTTTAATATTAATAAATAATTTTTGATGGAACGGTAGCTGAACAAAAGTTTTAGTTATAAGCAAGGGTAGTCCTAACTTGTTCACTTAAAATGTAGTCAAAATGGGAAAATAATATTTTAATGTTAATATTTCTGCTTATGAAGTTTAGTATGATAGCACTATTTAACTACTATTCTATTCTATCGGTTGTACCAGCCTTAAACAAATGTATGCTAAAATGTTAGTTACTTGAAAACTGCAGACATGTCATTTACTTTTAAACATTAACTTATTTAGATGTGTGCCCAAATATGATTGTATATATATATAAAGGCATTTATTGGAAAATAATTTAATCTTCTCACAAAAATCTACTGTTTTTTTAAAGATATATAATATTTAGAAGAAAAAAATTATGTAAAATGTCATTGTTTAAAGTATACTAAAATATTCAAACTGTTAGTAATATTTAAGTGATGCTTAATATCAGTTAGTATATTTGGCATCACTAACATAAACCCTCTAGCTGTCCTTCCTGTAGAAGTCTGTCTTTGACACTATCCTACATAAGTGCTTTCACTGATTAAATTTATCCTGTTTTAAAATATAAAAATATTTTGAAGTTTGAGTTGCCGAGTAAAGTTAGATAATGTTCATAAGACTATTTCAATTGGTCAAAAAAATTGCATTCATGGAGTTTATCTTTTGCTTATAGATTCCATCACTCTGAGGTATTCTCTAGACTTTTCCTTCGTTTTGGATGTTTCCTCATTCCTCTCCTATTGGTTTTTGACATAATTGGCATTATTTCATTTTTATTTCTTAAGTATGTAATGTTATAAGTTTTTTTGCCTAGAGTTTGGTGGTTTATAATAGCAATCTCTCAGTGCCATTGAACTCCACCTTTAACCCATTCCAAAAAAAAAAAAATTAAATAAATAAAAGAATAGCACCATTACTCTTTTAAAAGATCATTTACTGTTAAAATTTGTTTTCAAGTTTAGTTTTTGGGTTAATTTGTATGTTCAATCAAAGATAATATCAACATTATACCGGTTGATATATGTGTCTCCTTAGAAATTTCTAGTAGTCCTTTTCTAAATTACAGTCAAATAGAGAAAAACTTCATGCTTTTTTCCTTATATTAATATAGCTCATCAGAAGCAAGAAAATTATTAAAATTATTAGTCTTTTTGCAGAGATGTAGCAAATTTAAGATTTTTTTTCTTCTTATGTGTGAAGTTTATAGAGCTGTGACTGTTTACCTTTATTTTGTCCCCCTCAAAAATAAGGCCCTTGTTACTCTTATGATGCAAATTAAGTATCCCCTAATTTTTATAAAAATATGTAAGATTCACTATATTAAATAAAACATAAACATCATTGAATTTGATTACATCATACCAATATATTTGTAAAAAAAAATAAAATTAACTTTTTCTGTTTGTGAAATTCTGTAAGAAAGTTTTCTAGATTAATATTAAGTACAGTAGAGCGCCAATTATGCGAACTATGTCCAAATTCTTTTTTTTTAAGTTTAGAATACTTTTTAACTTATAGACAATTTTTCTAAATTTAGAAGAATAAATAATATCCACTACATCTGAAGACTATATTTAATTTACGACCTTTTTTAGCAGTTTTCTTATAGTAGCCATACATACATGCATTGTTATACCATATATACATACCTATTGCCATACATGCATGTATTGTTGCATAAATAATAATAATTTAAACTAGATTTTAAACTACTTTCCAAATATCCTAACTTTTCATTATCCGAACTACATTCGGTCCCGAACAGTTCGGATAATCGGCTCTCTACTGTACTAACTTGATATTGTTTATAATTTGAAATAACTTTTGAATGACTCGTTTTATCTAATTCTTTTGAAATTTATATTTAATTTTCTTTTTTTTTAAAATTTTTTATTAGATTGAAGCGGAAGCTACAAACCGAGCTATTGTTCTTGCTCACCAGGTTCAATGTCCCTTGTATGTTGTGCATGTTATGAGCAAATCGGCTGGAGATGTCATAGCAAAAATGAGACAAGATGGTACAGTTATCTTTATTTGTTATTTAATAGTTCAGCTACTCTTTCTATTTGTGTAATTGTCTTTCTATATTCTTTATAGGTCATTCATGTCCTCAGTATCAAATAATAATATATGGTTGATCCAAATATAATATTTTCTTTTTTGGAACTATTTTTATTATAAATTAAATTTCTCTACAACACCACAGCAGTAAATCAAAGACTATTTTTGCAATAATTAGGCTCAAAGTAACATTTATGTAGTAAAATTTCAAATTATAAGGTAGATAAAAATAATACACCATAAAATTATGTTCTTTAAATTTAGTTTGGATTTTTAACTAAATTTAAAAAATGGTATAAATCCCTCGCCTGGCTTTTTTTTTTTAAAGAAACGTTTCATTTTTAAAAATGTTGGTTAATCAGCAAACATTAATTGGAATTTTTGGAAATCAACCATATTGTTTAGTTTATGTTACTATAAATCATTTTTTAGTTTCAATTTTAAACGTTTTTTAACTCTTCAGTAAGTTTTGCTTAAAGAAAAGCATAAGTTCCAAGCTACAAGCTCTTAATTTATTTATTATGTTTAAATTTTCTGTTATTTTAAAACATTTTCTATTTCTTCCACACTATACAGTTCATTTAAAACGCGATCTTTTGACTTTAAAACTTTTGAGTTCTGTCTATTCTTGAAAGCAATGCTAATAAGATCACATTAATATTATTGCAGTACTGTGTATATGTATTCAATTCATATTGTTATGATATATATGTTTTCAACTTATAGTCTTACTATGCATGTTTATGTGTAATAGCTCTGTAAATCACATTAAAGATCTACCTAGATTTGTAATTCAGATTACAAAAGGGTTTTATCCTGAAGGGCATGTTTTTAAATACAGTACAGAACCCGTTATCCGGAAATCAGAAAACCGGAAAACCAAAAAACCGGAACGAAATTCAATAAATTTTCCCGCCATTTTAAAAAAAAAAATTTTTTTTCCTCATAAGATTTTAGGATTTTTCTTTCTTTTTTGAAAGATGTTTACCTTACCATCATTTTGGAAATAATCATTAGTGTATTACTTCATCGTTTTTTCTTCTTTTTAAGATTATTTCCAAATATATTTTTTTTAGTTGGGTTTAACAATAAAAAGAACGGCTTTTTGTAGCGATTCAGAAAACCGGAAAAATCAGTTATCCGGAATAGCGATTGTTCCGGGTAATTGGTTCCCTACTGTAATATAATTTGTTTTTAAAAATTACTGAAAATGTCACTAAAAAATTTTGTCACCACACCACATACATTTTAGTTTGTATTTTAAATTATTTATTTTTTGAGCTGTAATGATAAAATAATAGACTATCTAAATTTTCAAGAACTGAAACAAATTGAACTAATTTTTTGTTATTAGTTGTAGAAATACATTGCATTACAAATTATTTGAAAACAATGTTAATAAGATCACATTAATATTATTGGCCAATAATTAAGCTGAAATGTTCATAAGTTGCATTGCATACTCTAAATATCTGACAAATTATAATGATAATTTTTTTATGAAAAAGCCCACATGGGTTGGGTTTTCTTAGGTTTTTGCAAACCCTGCTTTATTATGAGCTGAAAATCAAAATTATAAATTTTTGGCCCATTATTAATAATTGGAACTGATTTCAACCGAGATTTATATTGTCAAGTATTATGTTCATAAAATTATTATCAATTACAAACAAATACTGTTTAAAATTCTACAACAATTATAAAATAAAACCCACGTAATACATTATTCGTCTTATTTAAATGCCATAGTAAAGATATGCAATCTTATTCATACTCGACTAAACATTTTAATCAAGTTTCTTTTCTTGTTTTTATTTTGCTTTTAAGTTGCAGTTACTAATGCAGATTTGAATCTGTGTTTTTGCATTAATTGTAGACAATTTTTCCTTTCCATTATTATTTTTGTACATTTTTTCTTAAGAATAGTATTTATTCAGGTTATCATGTTTATGGAGAAGCAATTGCAGCTGCTTTGGGTACTGATGGAAGCCATTACTTTCGTAAATGTTGGCAACATGCTGCTGCATTTGTTATGTCTCCACCACTGCGACCAGATTCTTCCACACCTCGATATTTAGCCCAACTTTTGGCTAGGTAAATTTCTATATTTAATTATGCTGTTATTTTCTATTTTTGTAAAATTTATTTCTATTTTTGTTATATTTTAAATGATTTTTTAATACTGCTTTAGGAAAAACTATGAACCTATGAATTCAAATAATTGCAAAATCAACTACATTCAGTTAGAATCCATTAAGTTTACAAAATATATTCTGAAATGTAAGCTTTAGAACTTGTAAAAAAGTTAATATGTGTTATTCAGAGAACTTATAAAGTAATTGTTTAAATTAATAAATAAGGCTTAGCCTATTAAATTTATCTATTAAAATTCTTTTATTTCATTTTCTAGAAATTTGCAAGGAAACAATACTTAAGAATTTTTGTAAAATTATTTGAATAGTATTTTGAGATGTAATTTTTGAAGTACATACTTGCAAGCTTATGCCCCTTTGCTGCTATGGTTTAAATGTTAAATTTTTTTAAAGCATTATATTTTCTGATTTAAATTACTCTTTCTTTGTCAATATAAGATAACATTATTTGGCTAATTGCCAAATATTTTTAATATAATAATTTGGAATAATACATAAATGAAATGCATAATGTTTAATTAAAATATCATTCTAGGTTATAAATTTGAAAAGGGAAAATATGTTATGGTAAAAAAACTCATTTCAATTTTCATTTATACATCTTTTAATGAAGCTTACTTGTCAGTTTAAAATTCACTATTGTGATAGATTTGCATACTTCTATCTTTTTTCAGTGTTACCTACTCTTCAGAAAATGCTGCCAAAATAACTTTCATTTCTTTAGTAGCATAAATAGGCTAAAATTAGAAATATTATTAAATGTTATTGAAGAAATATTATGTAATATTTAACATATTGTCATAGAGATAATATATAGATATTAGAGAAAAGTTTTGTGAATCTTTGTTGCCAATATTTTGAGTTAAACATTATTTTTAAAATCTTAAGGTTATTCATAAAATTATAGAATTTATTTTAGTTTGAAATTATTTAAAAAAATTAATGCATGGTGAATATTTTTTAAAATTTTGTATTTATGTATGATTAAATATTTTTGTTTATTTGATCAGTTAGTCACTTTAAAATGCTAATTTTGAGTTACAATTCACTAAACCTGGTGTTTTAAGGAATTTGCCTTAACAGAGAAAAAGGCATAACATATGTACAAAAAAGTGAAACGTGTAGATATACAATATATATAAACTGGAAAAAATGTGTATTTATATTTTTCTCTTAAAATCTGCAATTCTTGTTAAGATAGAATTTGTTTTAACATTGTAATGGAATACATTTTCCTGAGAAAGGTTTTTATAAGTAATTTTTTTTTTAAATATTCAGTTATTATATTTATATATTTCCTTTAAAGTGGAGCATTGCAGGCAACTGGATCAGATAATTGTACTTTCAATTCTGCTCAAAAAGGCCTTGGATTGAAAGATTTCTCTAAAATTCCAAATGGAATCAATGGTGTTGAAGATAGGATGTCAGTTTTATGGGAAAAGGGTGTTGTAAGTATATTATCAGTTTCCTCTTGTCATTTATGTGTATAAATTCTTTTAAAATGTTGATTTAGAAATAATTTTTTTTAACTGACGGTCAGTTTATGTTTTGCAATGCTCATAGCTAAACTATTGCAGTTAAATCTGAAATATGTAAGGCTAGACCATGAAAGTAACAAAAATAGTTTTTCAGTTCTATTTTCTTATTATTAACTTACTTTAAAACTAAAATGCAGCTTGTATTGTACAAATTTCAGAAGGAAAACTTATCTCTATTTTTATATTATTGTGGTATTTGAAAGTTGCAAACTATTAAATTTTGAAAGAGAACATAATATAGCTTGTATATACTACTACACTTTTTGCAAAATATTTTACAGAGTGGCAGACAAATAAAAATTAAAGCTTTCAGAATTTTTGGTAATTTTGCCAACATTTTAAGAGCCTCACCACAAAAGTGCTGGAACAAAATGGTGTTTCATGTAAACTTTTGTATCATTTACATGTAGTGGTGTAAAAAATAATTCTACACCAAATTTATAAAACAATAGAATAATAGATTAAAACATAAACTTAACTACCACTGGAAGAAATTTTTCTGAAAAGTGTAAAAAGTTGGTAGTAGTTACTGAACATTTCTAATTTTATGGCTTATTTAATTTCAGCTGTGTATGTTTTAATCCTGTGTGCATTAGTTCCAACTTTTTCCAAACTTTAAGCCAGTGACATTTCTGTTACAAAACTATTTCCTTCCCTTGTTATACAGTAAGAAAGTAGTGTGCAGAGAGAAAAATTCTTTACATATTTCTCCACAGTCAGAATGTTTAAAGAGTTAAAGCATTAAAAGTAGCATATCACTCACAGCTCTATATATCCAATAGTGCAGCTGTAGTGCTACTTAAATAAAATACCTACCTACAAAACATACCGAGTAGTTTTGCAAACCGATACAATAGAACTATAAGTTAACCAAGTTTTATTGTATTTCAATATTGTCACCATAGAATGCCTTCAGCAGCAACTGTCCGAAGCCTGAAGAAATAAATCAAAGTCTTAATTTAAAATCCTAATTGCACTTTCTCACATTGCCATATTTTTAGAAAAATGTAGTTAAAGTTTCAATTCTTTAAGTTTTGCTTTTTCCCTTGTCGTTCAAAACATAGATTAATAAGTGGTAGAACTTAACAAATATGTGTAAAAACTATTTCTAATAATGTAAAATACAATTTTAGAATATTCTTTATTAAATCTATTAAAATTTCCCCACAGAAAATAATTTTCCAAATTATACTTTGCCGAATATTCGTTACATCCCAAATAACATTTTTAACTTCCTTATTAATAAAGTTACTTTCATTATTTTTCTAAAAGCAATTTAATCAAATGAAACTCTTTTATTTTTACAGATGTCTGGTCTTTTGGATCCATGCCGCTTTGTTGCTGTTACTAGTACAAATGCTGCCAAAATATTCAATGTTTATCCTCAAAAGGTATTAGTTATTTCTATACACCAGTGTTTTATTTCAACAATTTCATTATCATTTTGACAATTTTTCATTTTTCAAAGGGTCGTATTCAAGTTGGATCAGATGCTGACATTGTAGTATGGGATCCCCATTCAAGCAGAATTATATCAGCCAAAACTCATCACCATGCCGTTGATTTTAATATATTTGAAGGTATGGAATGCCGAGGAATACCAGTTCATGTGATATCAAGAGGAAAATTAGTTGTAGAAGATGGTGAAGTAAGTGATAATCTTTTTTTTTTTTTAATGAAAATGTCAAATTTTTATATATTTATTTATGGAATGGTTATGATATAAGTTACATAATTCATTCTAGTTGACAGACTTTGATTAAATATGATATATGCATTACATGGATCATATGGAAGACCCTAAACTTTATTTAATCTTAGCATGTGTTCATCGATTGTGCTTTCCATTTTAACGAAACACATTTTTTATAAGCATCTTAGTAAGTTAAAACATAGCACAAAAGATTACTTAATCTATTGCAGCAATGTGACATGTTATGCTTGCTTTCAAGTCAGTTTCATTTCAAAGCCTATTCCGTGAAGCAAATCTCTAATTACTCAATCTTTCTTCTGTGATGACATAAAACAAAATTATTTTATGGTAGTGACCACTGGCTTTTTAAATTGTTTCAAATTGCCTTAACACCCTTCCTTGTGTAAGAAAAGTACCACTTATCTTTTGAAATGTGAACTATTTTTATTGTTAGTACCTTTTTCCATGGTGAATATGACAAATGTACTAAACATTATCAACATCCATCCACCAAAACGGATGCCACATTGGTAATTGCAAGATAATTGCAAGATAATGCAAGATAATTTTAATAACCCTCCTCTAAATTATTCCAATAATCAAATTTTAACTTTTTAAATGCAAATCTTTTTTATTCAGAGTTTTTAATAATTAGTTACAAACTTAAAGGGAAATGTGGTGAAATAAAACTTTTTCAACATTTATCAAGAGTTACAAAAGGAAATCAGGGGGATCTTTTTATATAATTAAATCAAAATACAGAATACGAAAGCTCTAAAGCTATAAAAGTTTTAAATTAGATCTAAATATATTTTGAGATTCAACCTTTAAATAGTTGTCATAAAAATTTTTAAGTAATTGATTGTAACCAAATACATTTTGCCTGATTTTGATGCGAACACAACAATGTGTAGGATTATTTTAAGAATTTTAAATCAATAACATTGAAAAATATACTAAATCATAATGTGAACATTTCATTAAATGTTTGCAATTAACTTTATACAGTATTGTGTGTTACTATTTTAATTCACTGACAAAGAGCCTTAGGAACTCTAGAATATAATCTTGTTTTTTAATCAAACGTATGCTTATAGTTAATGTTTTATTAAAAGTAATTCTTGAGAATTTTTAATTTCAGGCATTGCTAAAGTCTTATACAAATTTTCAAAAGTGTCAAATCAAGTTTCCATTATTATCAAAGAGCAATGTCTATAAAAATATATCTGTCAATATTAAATAGCATTAATTTCATGTTTTATCCAAAGATACTAAATTTAATTTACTATTTTTTGTAACATAAATTCTTATTAATCTGATCCTTCTCTATTCAATTCATGGCTTATTAGCCACTAAACTCAAACCAAACATGTAGGTATGGTTTTTGTAAGAAAACTCTTATGTCCTTATATGCTTGGGGACAATAAATAAGTTTGATAAGTCACCTTTCTCTTCATCTAAGCTTAACTTTCATAGAGGTCATAAAATTAACTTTTGTGAAATTCTTAAAAACAGTGATTTTTTATACTGTTTCCCTTTCTAAGAAAATATTTCTTGATGTATTTAGCTACAAAATGTTATGTATTTAACCAATTAATGCCTGAATTTTTTTCAACTTAATATTCTGCTTGATTGTCGTTAATGATGTCAGAAAAATGTAAAAAATACTAAAAAAATAAACTTTGAAAATAGTTATTTATTTTTAAAAATAATGACCCAAATTTGGGATATTAGGCATTAATGGGTACAGGTTTTTCCCTATATTAAGATGAACCCAATTTTGACAGAACCAGATTATAACACTGTGGAAGTGCTTTATTGTTTCAATTTTATAGCAGTAAAAATAAAATAATAGTTTTGTGTTAGAAAAATGAGATGTAGTTATTTTGTATAACTAATAGTTTCAAAGAAGATAAGCACATATGTATATATATGCCACCATTTCTTAAATAACTCAAGTGGGATATGCATTTATATTAACAGAAAAAATAAATTTTCGAAGGCCAAAATATGAAACACGAATTTCATATCATATTTGTAAATATTTAATATATTATAAAATTTAATCATGTTAAACTTAATTTCCTCATTTCTAATGTAACAAGATAACAAAAATTTTTGCTACGTTAAAATCTTCTAAAATTATAAAATATTTTTCTAATTCTCACTATCTACATTGTTATAGTTTGCTTTAAAATAATTTTATGATTAAATAAGAATGCTATTATAAAACAGTTTTGAAAACATTGTACCAACTTGTTAAAAAAAATATTCACTTCTTTTAGTAACAAAAAGTAAAATTCACAAAATGAAGAAATATACATTTATTTATGTATTTATTTTAGCTCCATGTTTCTCAAGGATCTGGACATTTCATTCCTAATCATCCATTTTCACCTTACGTATTTGCTTGCCTACAGCAACGAGAAGTAAGTAATTCTATCTTGGATATAATTCTATCTTCCTTTAATTTTATCTTGGAAATAATGATTCTAAGTGAACAATTCTAATTTGTAATGACTTTTAAAATTAAGTTGTTAATTTTCTAAGTGTGACTCATGCTTTTTGTTGTTTTTTTTTTTCTCCTAAAATTTTTGTCCTTATATTCAATCTATGAAAATGCAGGCTTTGCAATAGTTTAATCAGAGATTCCTTTTATTTTTCAAAGCTGTGGGATTCCTAAGAGAGTCGGAATATTTCACAGCATTAAGGTCCTATAATATCTATTAATCATATTAGCTTTAAATATACACATTTCATATTTATGGTAAAAAGATTAGGAAATTGAATTTTAACAAAAATATAAGCATGGTTATTACAACTCATATGTAGAATTCTCAGTAGTATTTTAATTACATTTAAAATATATATATAAGTGTGGAAAAATAGAAAGCAAATATTATACCTTCCACATGCTTTGAAATAACTAATTTCCTGAAAGATGTCCCTCATACATTGGATATCTTACATTAATATTTCAGTTAGAAAAAAGTAAGAACTTTTTAAAATTTTGACAAATCATTATTGAAATGTATGAAATATTGAGTCAGGATTAAAATCATCAAGACCGATTTATCAGGTGAAACTGAAAGACATTTCTAATTATAAGTTTTTTTTGCTTTTCAATTCAATCCTGCAACTAAAATGGTTTTGGCTTTTTAATCTTGCCATTTTGATTATCTTAATCAAAATTTGCAAGTTTTTTGTACTGTTTTTTTTTCCTTCTCATTTTAATATTAATTCTTAATGTATATATATTTCCTTACTAATAGTATATTTTTTGCTTAAATTTTAGCAGTTTCTAGTAAACTCATATTTTGCATTATAATAATTTTTAATTTTACATTTCTCTCAACCCATTTTTCATTGGTATATTTTTGCAATTCTAATCTAACTTTTAATCTGTCTTCTTCTTAGTCTATTTTTCTAATTTAGAAAATTGTATTGAACTGTAAAGTTTTCTAACAGCAAGACCTCAAACACCTCTTATTATACAATAATGTCGAAGCTACAAATAAGTTCGTAACAGACAGTGGTTTTTGTGCTATAAGATAATACTATATGTAGATGTGTCTTGTCACTGATGATGGCATTTAAAGATAAAGGGAAAAGAACGGTTTGTGTCCGTAAAAGCTGATTTTGAGAAAAGACAATTTTAAATTTTTCAGACTCATGCATTTGATTGATATCAGAAAAATAAAAAGTACTTATACATGAATATCTTCCGTGGTTTTTTACATTCCCGAAAAACTTTAAAATAAAATTTAACATTTTTGAAATTGAAGAAAAAAATTGAAAATCGGGTTGAACAAAACCATTTTTTTCTTGAAATTCATCGCCAATCAATACTTCTTCGCTAGTATTCCCATCATCTTCTTCACTATGCTTTTCTTTGTTCTTCTTGTCTACGTGTTATCAGGGACCATTTCTCCCCATCGTGGCCCCTCTTTACTGTGTAATACTCTCTGGGAGAACCGATTTTTCATGTTATTGATTGAACAAAACCATTTGTACCTTAAAATTCATCACCAATCAATACTTCTTCACTAGTATTCCTATCATCTTCTTCACTATACTTTTCTTTGTTCTTCTTGTCCGCGTGTTAACAGGAACCATTTCTCCTCATCACAGCCCCTCATTACTATGTAATAATTCTCTGGTAAAACCGATTTTTCCCGTTATGTATTTAGCAAAACTCAGTATTCTTCAAAATGAACAGATGGCGATTCAATCGTCATTTTTATGAAAAATAGACTTTAACTGTTGTTCCTTCTTGGTCTTCACTTGTTTATTTGTTTTCATATTATTTTATTTACAGCGTAAAGAGCACTTTGCTTGAGACTTATATTATGAACACACCAGCTTTTTCTGTAAAACATCCTATTTAAAGAAATAAGTAACCTAATTTGATTAAATTTTCTTAAAGCTTTTCCCCCCTGCTGTACAAAGAGAAGATGGAGATGCTCCAGATGGGGAAATTCCGACAACTCCGATGAGTGCATCTATACCTCGTGAGTATGTAATGCATGCAAAGAATAGTCCAGGGGAATTTCATACTCGTCCTCCAACCAGAAGTGGTGGACGTAATTTACAAGATTCATCTTTTAGTCTATCAGGTTAGAAATTTTATTGCAGTATTTTTTTAAAGTTTAGTTCGACTCTCAGCTATCATAGCCGCTGTGTTTACCTAAACATAAATTTATATTACAATATTCATGGTGATTGTAAAATAACTTAGCCGCCATATAACTCCCTGGCGAGCATATGGTTATAGAAAACAAAATAACAGTGTAAGTAAATATATTATAAAATGTACGCTGAAGAATAGTGTTAAATTAATTATCCAGCTTTCGTGGTTACGATGACAGAAATTCAAAAAGCAACAACTGCTTTTTCACTATACAGTAGATCTTTATAATGCAAATCTTGAAACTCAAGGCTTTGCATTATGTAGAATTTTGTGTTAGGTAGATCATTTCGCATGTTAAACTTACTTACTAAACATTGCATTATATATTTGGCACAGATAACCGTTTAAATCTTTTAGTGCAATTTTTGGATGTGATATACTTTAAAACACTAAAAAGTATTTCTTATGTAGCGGGAAAAAAAGAACTGAAATTGCCAATAAAATAGCAAAATTATTTATTAATTTTGATTTGATATAGAGAATGTTACCTCATTCTCTATTTTTCTTGCAGCTTGTGAGCAGTTGATAGTTCTTATTTTCAGAAATTTCTTCAATATAATTTTCATTGTTTACACCTGGTAAAGGTTAATGTGGTTTTTAGAGAATTTCATTGTTTATTTCTTCAACTGAAGTAGAAAAGCTTAACATTAAGTTTGAACAACAACATAAATAGTGGTGATGCAGAGATGCCAACTGCTCCGGACATGCCAAAATAATTTTTAAAAAAAACGTTAAATAAATTCAAAGTAAATTTTGCAAATATTAGACTATTTTTACTTGCTTTTTAAAGGGTATAGCATGACATAAGTGCTATAAAGTGGCGAATTATATAAGCCTACGATTTGTTTAGAAATAGTTTTGGATAAAAATCTACTAAATTTAATTTATTAAACCAAAAATCACAATTGATAAACTACCTACTGCTTGTTAATATATATTTGCTTTAAAATATATATTTGCTGTCTGGAGCAAGTTGGCATCTCTGGTGATGCTAGACAGGGATGTAATGAGCAAGATGCAGCATATCAGTGTGTGATATTCTTGCTTTTCTTTGTTAAAAGAGAGCATTTACTTGAGTTAAGTCAGTGACATGTGGGGAATTTGAAAATACTATTTTCTTCATCTCTGTAAAGCACTGCCTTTTTTTCATGCGGAAAAAATTCGAACTCAGTTTTAAATTTTTATTTATTTTTTTTGTGAGATGGTTTGATTTTAAAACTACTTTCTAATGCATCTCTTATATACTTATTGTACACAATATTATGTTCTCTCAAACGGTATGCTTTCCATTATATGTTGTCAAGGCTTTTTATAATTATCCTTTATCCATATATTATATTTGTATTACTCAAGTGCTTAAATTGATGATGATAAATTATGTTTTAAAAAATTTAACTTTTTTGTAAATTTTTTAAAATATAATTTATCATAATATTTAATATGAGTATTTTTTAATACTTAGGTGCTCAAATTGATGATGCTAAAGGTCACCGTTTAGGCATTAGAGTAAATAATCCACCAGGAGGTCATTCTTCAGGCTTGTGGTAAAATGATTTTAAATGTACAATAAAAATTACTATTTGAGTTTTAAATATGCTGCTCCTTAAATGACATTGGACTGATTCACTAAATGTAGCAGCTTTTTTTTTGTATAAAATAAACACATTTTCGCTGTCTACCAGAACTTATTTCACTTATCTAAATTGATGGAATATTGTTTCTTAAATTTATCATCTTCATTTTGTATTAATTTGTTGTTGTAATTTTACCCTGTTGATTAGTTTCAATTTTTAACGTTTGTTGAATGGCAACTTTGTTATTCAGTTCTCGCTGTTTTATTTGTTATTGTATATTAGTATTATGAAACATATTGTGACGAACCTTTTTATAAGCTTTCTAGTTAATGTGATATTTCTGTATAACATGTTAATTTAAATTAGAGAAATAAAACAGTTTTGTTAATTATATAATACTAAATGCTTGTAAATCTGTGTTGTAAACCTAATGTTGCATTTTTATATCAAGTTTTTGATAGTGCAGTCTTAAGTCATATCATAATTATTTACATCAAGCTTAATTATTCCTGAACTCTTGTTCTGCACAAGCTAAAATACCTTATTGTATTACTAAAAGTTTTGTTTGCATGTTTATTCTTGTGAAATTGGTGCTTTATATTCAACAACTCGTAGTTGGCTTGCTATATGTTAATTTTTAAGTTTTAAATAATTGCTATATCTAAATATAATATACTATTATGCAAAATGTTTATCAAATTGTCTGTATAGATTGCTTTATTTATAAATTTTTAGCTTTAACTGACTAAAGCACATTTTGTAAATGCTAACTTATCCAATTTTATTCTCATGAAATTGTTAAGCATATTTTTTAAAAAAAAAATACAAATATATAATTTTATGAATATTGACAATATAAAATTACTGATTGTTTCGATCTAATTAAGTTTAACTTTTGCTATCAAGAGGAACAATTTTTCAGAATTATTTCTTTTTATGTCAATACTTAAAAAAAAAAAATTTAACAATTATGTGATTCTGTTTAATATTGGTTTTAGAAGTACTTCATAAACTTTATTTAGTTGAATATAAAAATTTATGCATTTTGTTAAAATATTTCTTAATGATAATAAACTTAACAAAATAATGGGAGAGAAAAAAATTCAAGTGAAACTGACTAAATTTGATGAAATTATACAATTTAGCCAAATGTATTAACCACGGTAAAAATTACATTTCATCTTAAAAATAAATTATTTGCTTTTTTTATAAATACATTAAAATTGTTTGAAATTTAATTGAGTGCAAATTGTTATACTTTGTTGCTGTTCCGAAAATGTTTGTTCAGTTTCTTAAAAGTATTATGCTTGTTCAAAATTATGAATACTATAGAAATTGTTATTTAAATAAAAATAATTTAGTATTTAATTTATAGCAAGTCACCATTGTCTTGTTAATTGAAATCAAAATTTGCAATATTTTAAGAAACTTGATATTGAGGCAAATTTCTGTCTTATGGTTGCATTTATTTCTTACGTTACAAATGTTTGTTTGTGTTACTTTTTACAATTTATATAAATACTATGCAAAAGTGTTATTCTCCTGCTAATTGCAAAATAAATAGAAACAATGTCCTTGTGTGTTTTATTTTCAACCAAATATGCATTTTTTATTGAAATTCATAACTCTTTTTCTTTCTCTGACAAGGGAACAACAATCTTCAGTGTGGGTTTCCTAAGTTCTTTGTCTTTGGGGGAACTTCTCAAGACCTTAGCATTGTGGGGAGGGTTGAAATCGACAATGCCAACCATCATCTATCAAAAGATACCTCAAGATTGAATCGAATTAGCATGTCTTATATACTAGTGAATTGATGTTTAATAATCATAATGGTAGTTACGCCACAATACTCCCCCACCAGAATTTTATCTGGGATAGAATTCGATGAACGGATACCACTAGTTGCCTTATTTGTGAAAGACCATGAGAGCTGTATTAAGTTCACTGGATTTTGTGCTGAGAGCTGTATTAAATTCACAGTTGTGTGTATTGTCTTTTCTGTGTTGCTATTAGCAGTTGAGTGTGAGCAGGATCCCATTAAGTTCACTAGATTTTGAGCGTTTGTGGTGAGATCTGTATTAAGTTTGGGATTGTGTGTATTCCTATTCGCAGTTGAGTGTGAGCAGGATCCCCGTTATATGCAATTAAGACTGAGTTACAAATAACAAGTCAACTGTTCAATGTGGAACATCCATTGAAGTAGGCATGATATGATCATGTCTGCAGGTCACCAATATGGGGATGGTAGAAATCAACGATGACAACCATCATCTATCAAAAGGTACGTCATGATTAAGTCGAGTTAGCATGTTTTATATACTAGTGAATAGTTGTTTAATAATCATAGTGGTAGTTATGCCACAGCAGCAAAAACATTATTTGGGGGGTAAAGAGTTATCTTTCCCCTCCCTAGCCTTAGAAATTTAAGAAAATGATATTTCGAGTAATATTTTAATATGCATAAGTCTTTGATTGATAATTAAACAGTAGCGAGATATCTATTGTCACTTATCATAAGTTTTTAAGACAAATTTTAAATTAACATATTGCAGCAAATGATGGTGATAGTGGTCCTCAGTGTGTCTACAGTTTCAAACAAAAATCTCTTCTAAGATGTTGATTGCNACAATGTTTTTATTAAATTATCACCATAGTTGGCCAGACAGCCCAATGTGAGCCAATGCCTTCCTCTGAAGATTTCTCCTTTAACCTTGTTACGAAATCCCTCATGTGAAATATCTTTTCAAATACATATGAATATCCTTCGTAAGTAGTCAAATAGGCGTCACCTCAATACAGGTGATGCGGCCCGATCAGAAACTTGGGTGTCACCCGAATATGGGTGATGTGGCAGTCAATGTGTTAATGGATCTGTTAATTACTTCTTTTTATAAACTAATTCATCTTCCTCAATATCAGATCATGGAGAAATTCTTGTAAATCATCAAATTTGAAATAAAGGTCACGAGAATTTTTGTAACTAATAGAGACACCCTGGTGCCGTGCATAAGGATATCATTAGTATAAAGTGCAGTAATGTGTTCTTATAGAAAAACTAAGACAAAATACTATAATTTTCATTTCCTAACATAAAACTGGCGCTTTATATCATCTAGTGGATGGGGGGGAAATTTGTTTCTAAGCATAATCGTCAAATTAAAAATGTACTGCAACTACAATTAAAATGTTCATTTTTAACCTGTATGTGTTCTTTTATTGTTATCTTACAAGACTTGTGCTAATTGTAAATTTAAATACATAATCTAAATAAAGTGTAGCAAGTCAACTGGCATGTCAGACCTGCTACTGCTGGCAGGTTTTAGACCCTTGTTCAACAGCTTCTAAGGGAAGCTTTTTGTTAAAAAAATAATAGTAGGGAAGATGAATAAAATCTGTACAGGGGTTACATGCTTAAAGCTCAGAACACTAGCGTAAACAAAAAAATAAATAAATCCATCTACCCTACATGTCTAAGCAATATAAAGCAAAGATGCTCTCTATTATAGTAACTGGGCAGTTGAAAATGCTAGGTTTAAAAATAAGTTTCTTCCGATACTTCCAATAGTAGCAGTTAGGAAACGTTTTAGAACTGATTTAGATTTAACTTTTAGTATTGAGCCATGATGGCTCAAGGGATAGAGCGTTCAACTTCCCATAATGTGAACCGGGTTTGAATCCCAGCAATGGCTGATTGATACAAATTTGCTTGCACCGACCACAGTGTTGACGTAAAATATCCTCAGTGGTAGAGAGATCACAGGTTAGAGTCCCCGAGCTATCAGGCTAACAGTGAGAGGTTTTTATGGTTTTCCTCTCCATGTAACGCAAATGCAGGTTAATTCTATCGAAAAGTCTTCCTCGAAGGAAAAATTTTTCAGTAAGGCAATGCTAAAAATTCTAACATTTTATGCACATGTATTTAGACAATGTGGAACGGTGGTTTGTATGTGGCACACTTTTAATTTCATTAAAAAAAAATAAAATCACCCTGTACATAAGTCCCTAAATGATCGATTCTTTAGCGGAACCCTTACTATACATAAATTAAATACATAAACATAGAAACAAAACTAAGTGTAGTAATTATCTTGAAAATATTTTATGAAAAGATTTTTTCACTGTTTGTGCTTTGAATTTGTTTTTGGTACATGCATAACTTGAATATAAATGAGTAGAAATTTGGTTTTCATTGAAAGGAAATTAAACATTGAGAATGGTTAACAGTGAAATATATTTCTTCATTGTTGAATTTAGTTATTTTTATTTTGAACTGAAAATTTTGAAGAGAAACACTAATGTAATTCTTTAAAAATGTACACTCTTTTTAATAATTTATACAATATTAGAAAAATTTTTGCATTTTCTTTATGTTAAATAATTTTATAAAAATAGCCAAATTATTAATTTGATAATAAATTTTTGATTGAATATAAATAAAATTATATGTTATAAAAATATTACGCCTGGGAATCCATGTGTTTCTTCCATAACTTAAGGGAACTGCTGCCTTCATATATCACCTATAATGTCATATAGATTAAATCCGTGAAAAATAAAATAGCTACATTGAGATTGGATACATTCTGATTTTTTTTTTTTTTTTAAATATTCTTTGCTTTTAACCTCATTCTGATTAAATAAAGAACCTAATCCGAAAAATAATTGATTACTGTAAAACTTGTACGATTTGCAATTAAAATCAAGGCTGAAATAATCGCTATATTCAATCTTTCAACTCTGTAAACCACATCTATTTTCATTCTTAAGTTGCAACTTTATTATTTCATAAATTATTTTGTTTAATTAAATTGTTTTTATTTTTAAAAAAAATATTAATAATAAATTGAGTATAAGTGTCATAATTGAGTCAAACGTTTATCGAATATTTCTTCACAGAATATTTACACAAACTAGAAAATGTGAAAGGGTTGGTACAGGTCCCGAGTGTAAAGGAAAAAGCAACATTTAGGGGCAGAGCAGCAAAAGTTTTTCTTGAAACGGGTTTGTATCTACCTCTTCTCGCCAATTTCTATTAGAATTAGGACGAAGGAATGATTTATTATTCTGTTGCTGCATTTTCACACCATTCAAAACAGTACTGTACTGTTCATTAAAATATTCCTATGATCCATGTTGATTATATCTGCTAGCACATTTTGTGACAGAACAAAATAAATTGGCAGGAGGCAGCATACCCAACGAATAACCGGTTAAAGTGACATAGCTCCCGACTGTCACTTAACTTCTTGCGTGCATGTGCTAAATTTTAGTACAGTGGGCAAAAAAAAAAGGCAATCACCCTTAATAATTTCGTTTATCTAATGTTTGGATCTCCATATACTGAGACTCAATCTTAAAATTACTCAGGGGTGACCTGTACATAAGATTCTCTGCTAAACCAAAGTATCTAGCTCGCCCTTTAATGGGCCATTTATTTCTAGTAAATGTAAATCAAAGTATTTTTGGAATTGAAATTGTTTTAAGAATAGTAATTGATATAAGAAAGAAAAACTCATTTAGTTTATAAAAATGCCATTTTTTTGGTGGTAAATATATTAAACACGACCTATCAGGAACTAATTGACTTTTATTTTTCTTTATTTATAAAATAAATTTTATAAATGCTACAAACTTCAAAAGGAATTGTGTATTTTATAACTTTTATACGTTTTTCTTTAAACTGACAAATGGTTACCAATTTTATTCAAACGCACTTCAAGAAAGCTGAAGCTATTAACAAATGGAAACCTAAATTAAAAGTAGTGGTAAGTATACTTCCCACGGCCTTCGAAAGGGTTGTTTTTCTGGTACAGCATCCTATACTGAGCACTTCTCTATATTAGTTATGTATTCGGAGAGCTGGATTTCTTTCTATACTTTTTTAACCTACTTGCATTTAAACAATATCCTTGGAACCAAGTGCAAAACTTTAAAACACATTTATAACATTTGTTTAGCTTAAGATGATTTTATGAGAAAAATAACATAATGTGTGGTAAAAATTGTGAACTATTAGGGAAGAAAATTTAAATAATTTATTTCTGATAAAACATTCTATTTCATAATTTATAAATTTTTTTTTTTGGGGGGGGGACTATTCAACCAATTAATTTTAAAGATTAGACTTTGATATTTAAAATTATATAATTGAACAAAACATATTTATGCCGTATAATTTAAAAATACTTGAACCATTAATGAGCAAAAATAATAATAATTAAAAATTTATTTTGCACGAAATTATCTTTGGTTAATGAGTTTGTAAATATTTGAATCATAAAGTTAGTGGTAGATGGTGAAAGTTCTGAATAAATAAAAATATTAAGTACATTTTAACTACTGGGGAGAAATGTTTTCATGCTGTTACTAAAGTATTTTGAGAATTCAGATTATATTGAAAAATTGCCATACTAGAGTGATTAACAAAGAAGTTGCTAACTTGTGGTACATGGACCTCATGTTGAGAAATAGATTTGTTAGTCACTGTAAGAAATCGAGAGTTTTTAAAGATTCTTTTCAATTCATAATGTGTTTTTTTTTTGATAGATAGTGATTGCTAGCGCATTGATCACAT